ACTGATCAGTGGTGGCGCCTCTGACCGGATCCCTAGACTGGGGGCCAGTCTACTGGATTCCCTGCGGCCACTAGATTGTTTTTGTTTAAATAAAAATGCGAAGGATAAGATTGAAATCACAGCAGTTTTTTTTCAATTCCTTTATTTCTAAGGATTTTCTTACTTTATATCACAGGAAAGGTGTTCCTGGAGGGAGTCCAGTAGACTGTCCCCCAGTCTGGGGCTACTCTGTCAACGTCTCCATCCTCTCCTTGAATATCGACACGTGTACTGACGTAATCCTCGATTACATTAAATTTTGTGAGGATGTCTGCATTCCATTGAAGGTGGTGAAGTTGCACCCAAATAACAAACCCTGGTTTGGCCACTCGCTGCGTCACCTACTAAAGATGAAAACGGCGGCATTTAAGTCTGGTGACCCCCAAGAGTACAAAAAAGCCAAGGACAACTTTTATCGGCGGATTAAAGTAGCCAAACGTTCATACAAAGGAAAACTGGAGAACAGACTGTCGGGTACAAATGGAAGCAGAGAACTTTGGGAGAGTGTCAGGGCTGTCATCCCATACAAGTCCAAATCTACTTCAGTCAACTTGGACAATGTCAATCTTCCTGACGAACTCAACAAAATTTATAGCCGGTTCGAGCAGGAAAATGACATACACCCTCTCAGAAATGTTGGTCCTCCCCTATTTGTAATCGCGTAGGTGGACACTTGTTGTGTTTTTCACGGTTGAATGCAAGGAAAGCTTCAGGTTCCGATGGAATTTAATCTCGTTTACTGAAATCATGTTCTGGTGAACTTTCTTTTATATTTACATCAATTTTTAATTGGTTTTTAACATTGTGTAAAATTCCACAGGTTTTAAAAAATCAATTATAGTTCCAGTACCGAAAAACTCCTATAACAGCTTCAACGATTATCGGCCAGTGGCACTCACATCACAAGTCATGAAATCACTAGAGCGTATTGTTTTGGATTATTTTAAGTTTGCCATTTCAAAGTCACTGGGTCCTTTACAATTTGCATACCGTGCCAATCATACTGCATTATGTGTTCCAACATTTAGACAGTAGATCATCAACATATGCCAGACTTTTGTTTATTGATTTCAGTTTTTGCATTTAATACAATATTACCATCCAAATTATACAATAAGCTCAATGAATTCGGTTTGAACTCATCACATTGTAGCTGGATTTACGATTTTCTTATACCGATCGCAGTCAAGTTGTTAGAGTGAATTCTTTAATCTCAAACTCAATTGTTACGAATACCGGCGCTCCCCAAGAGTGTGTGCTATCACCATTGCTATATTCATTGTACACTTATGATTGCTTTTCTTCATTTGATGCCTGTAAAATTGTCAATTATTCGTAGACGACACACAAAAACACAACTTGAAACAAGAGATTGACTGTAGGGCATCGGTCTTCGTGTCGCTAATCTTTTTATTTATTTTAGTTTCTCAATTATATTTTTTGAATAGCCTAAATTGGCCATCATCAATTGGGGCACGCTTGCCCAAAACCTTGCCACGCTTGGCATCATGTGGGCCCAAAACCATGGCACGCTCGTCAACCAGAAAACTAGCCCCATCAGGCCGGATCGGGCAATCATGCCCAGTATTTCGGGTAAGCATGCCCTGAGTTCTTGATTTGGGCAGGCGTGCCCATTTCGGCAAGCTGCCGAAGTTCTGGTATGTATACACATAATGAATACAAAGGAAATAAAACAGCGGCCATAAATCTATGTCCAAAAGTCAAATATTGTTTGCTGTTTGACCATCTTATTTTTTGTGCATGTTATTGCCCATTCGGGCGATGCCCGGCCACCTTAAATGTATCCCCCCCCCCCCCCCGCTTGGCCTGTTACAATATACACAGTCGGGATATTAGGAATTAATGTTGGCAAAAAATGACAAAATTAAGACTCGGGGAGAGATCAAGTTTTTCCTTTATCAATTCAAATGCAAGGTTTCTAGGTTGATTAAATTTTGGCAAAAAATGACAGCATTCAAATTACAGGATAATTTAGTTTTCCATTTTCGATTCAAATAAAGGTTTAACCTGTGCAATATTTTTAATTCAATATTCAATTTGGGGAAAAAATGACAAAACTGAGATTTGTGACAAATTTGAATTTTTGGCCATTTTTAGTCAAAATGCTAGGCTTACCCCTTGCAGATTTATTCAATTTGGGGAAAAAATGACAAAACTGGGATTTGGGGGAAATTTGCGTTTTGGGCCACTCTTAGTCAAAATGCAAGGCTTAACCCTTGCAGATTTAATCAATTTTGGGAAAAAATGACAAAACTGAGATTTGGGGGAAATTTGAATTTTGGGCCATTTTCAGTCAAAATGCAAGGCTTACCCCTTGCAGATTTATTCAATATGGGAAAAAATGACAAAACTGAGATTTGTGGCAAATTTGAATTTTGGGCCATTTTCAGTCAAAATGCAAGGCTTACCCCTTGCAGTTTTATTCAATTTTGGGAAAAAATGACAAAACTGAGATTTGTGGCAAACTTGAATTTTGGTCCATTTTCAGTCAAAATGCAAGGCTTACCCCTTGCAGATTTATTGAATTTTGGGAAAAAATGACAAAACTGAGATTTGTGGCAAATTTGAATTTTGGTCCATTTTCAGTCAAAGTGCAAGGCTTACCCCTTGCAGATTTATTCATATTTGGAAAAAAATGACAAAACTGAGATTTGTGGCAAATTTGAATTTTGGGCCATTTTCAGTCAAAATGCAAGGCTTACCCCTTGCAGATTTATTCATATTTGGAAAAAAATGACAAAACTGAGATTTGTGGCAAATTTGAATTTTGGGCCATTTTCAGTCAAAATGCAAGGCTTACCCCTTGCAGATTTATTGAATTTTGGGAAAAAATGACAAAACTGGGATTTGGGGGAAATATGAATTTTGGTCCATTTTCAGTCAAAATGCAAGGCTTACCCCTTGCAGATTTATTCAATTTTGGGAAAAAATGACAAAACTGAGATTTGTGGCAAATTTGAATTTTGGGCCATTTTTAGTCAAAATGCAAGGCTTACCCCTTGCAGATTTATTCAATTTTGGGAAAAAATGACAAAAACTGGGATTTGGGGGAATTTGAATTTTGGGCCATTTTCAGTCAAAATGCAAGGCTTACCCCTTGCAGATTTATTCAATTTTGGGAAAAAATGACAAAAACTGGGATTTGGGGGAAATTTGAATTTTGGTCCATTTTCAGTCAAAATGCAAGGCTTACCCCTTGCAGATTTATTCATATTTGGGAAAAAATGACAAAACTGAGATTCGGGGGAAATATGAATTTTGGGCCATTTTCAGTCAAAATGCAAGGCTTACCCCTTGCAGATTTATTCAATTTTGGGAAAAAATGAAAAAACTGGGATTTGGGGGAAATTTGCATTTTGGGCTATTTTTAGCCAAAATGCAAGGCTTACCCCTTGCAGATTTATTCAATTTGGGAAAAATGACAAAACTCAGATTTGTGGCAAATTTGAATTTTGGGCCATTTTCAGTCAAAATGCAAGGCTTACCCCTTGCAGATTTATTCAATTTGGGGAAAAAATGACAAAACTGAGATTTGTGGCAAACTTGAATTTTGGTCCATTTTCAGTCAAAATGCAAGGCTTACCCCTTGCAGATTTATTGAATTTTGGGAAAAAATGAAAAAACTGAGATTTGGGGGAAATATGAATTTTGGGCCATTTTCAGTCAAACTGCAAGGCTTACCCCTTGCAGATTTATTCAATTTGGGAAAAATGACAAAACTCAGATTTGTGGCAAATTTGAATTTTGGGCCATTTTCAGTCAAAATGCAAGGCTTACCCCTTGCAGTTTTATTGAATTTTGGGAAAAATGACAAAACTGGGATTTGGGGGAAATTTGAATTTTGGGCCATTTTCAGTCAAAATGCAAGGCTTAACCCTTGCAGATTTAATCAATTTGGGGAAAAAATGACAAAACTGAGATTTGGGGGAAATATGAATTTTGGGCCATTTTCAGTCAAAATGCAAGGCTTACCCCTTGCAGATTTATTCAATTTTGGGAAAAAATGAAAAAACTGGGATTTGGGGAAAATTTGCATTTTGGGCTATTTTTAGCCAAAATGCAAGGCTTACCCCTTGCAGATTTATTCAATTGTGGGAAAAAATGACAAAACTGGGATTTGGGGGAATTTGAATTTTGGGCCATTTTCAGTCAAAATGCAAGGCTTACCCCTTGCAGATTTATTCAATTTTGGGAAAAAATGACAAAACTGAGATTTGTGGCAAATTTGAATTTTGGGCCATTTTCAGTCAAAATGCAAGGCTTACCCCTTGCAGATTTATTCAATTTGGGGAAAAAATGACAAAAACTGAGATTTGGGGGAATTTGAATTTTGGTCCATTTTCAGTCAAAATGCAAGGCTTACCCCTTGCAGATTTATTGAATTTGGGGGAAAAATGACAAAACTGAGATTTGGGGGAAATTTGAATTTTGGGCCATTTTAGTCAAAATTAAAGCTTACCCCTTGAAATTTATGCAAGTTTGGTATTACTAAGTCCTATTTTCAGTAAAAATTTGAAGTTCTTCAGGACCAAATGTAAGTAGTTTTTTAAAAGCTGTGGTTTTGCTGTTTAAAAATTAACTAGAATGTAGCTTTACTTTGAAGTTATATTTAAAGATGTACAGAAGGGAAATACATGTACATGGATAAAATGTTAACTATTAGGACAAACACTGGCAAAAACGATCTCGTCTAAATGAAAGAATAGTCTTTATTTTCCTGTTATTTCGCTTTTGTTTTTAATCTATAATAAACCTGATCATTTGCAATAACTTTAGTATAAAAAGTTTCTTGGAAAGACATTTACAATGGATTGCATTTATTTATTTTTACGCTTACAAAAATGTAACATTTCTCTACCAAAATACTCAGTTGTAAGATTAGCATTTTTCCTAATTCACAATTCTGAATTACAGCTAATAAATGTACAATGCACTTGGTTCTTGAGGTTCTTTGCTATTCAGGTATTTCAAACCAATGAGCGATAACAATTCCAGCAATTATTTAACCAGACAAGTTTTTTTTCAGAGAAAGGAGGGACGTTCCTTATGACTCCCAGCTTCATCACCTGCCATATACCGGGGCTACCCACTAAAAAAAAAAAAAAAAGCCTGCAACTTTGAACAGTGAATGCTGGGGGAAACACTTGTACAGCTCCCCTTCGTTTCTTGGATGTGACAGTCTGCAGGAGAATTCAGTATGAACAGAGACTGGATACCAGACAGTCACAGTCTCCTGGAAGAAGATTTCTTGTCTCTCTCAGCTTCCAAGTATCAGCCTGACATTTTCTTCTTTTATGTTTTCACAACCCCGTTTTTCGACATGTCATGACTCACATGTGTCGTGCAGCTTAATAACTACAAATGGTACAAACTTCAACCTTTGAATAGAAGCCCTGATAAATGAAATGACCTGATTAGAGCTTGAAATATACATTGCCACGAAACAAAAAAAATGAGCTAAGTGAAAACAGTATATGCGACTACTCGGGAATATAACAATTGTTTTGAATATTAATAGAAATCACAACTTATTAATAACTACCCACAAATGCACACCATGAAATGCGAGTTACAATTAGAAGTACTTACAAAAACAAAACACACTCCAAAATGTTGAGTACAAACATATGAGCACATTTCTGGTCTATCAGCACGTCTCCTACAACAAATTCATACTCTGTCATTTTGAGTCAACAAGCCAAAAAAATAGGACTGCTAGATCTGCAAACAAGCATTGGCGCTCCTCTGGCCAGACATGCCTGCGTGTGCACGCTGCAGATGGTTTTGGCCATTGTGCTCGTAGGCAATGTTTATGATTGCAGTGGTAAAGGCAATTTTCACGATTTGACAAATGGAATGTTCCATTCCATGCTTAAAGTCCGGTGGAATGGAACTGTCTACACTGAAAGAGGAACACCATGAAATAAAGCAAAAAATCTGCGTTGGGAAAGCTTTCTAATTTGCATGGGGAGTAAGGGAGTTAGCCTTCTAGTTACCACAGCTCTACGGATCATACCCAGCTATTTTGTCAGAATACGGCATAACCCCCCCCCCAAAAAAAACTGTAAATGCAGTTCTATTCAGAAATGAAGCAATTTTTTACATCCAAACAATAAAACACCTGGCTAAAAATGAACCTTTGAAAGTGAAATAACAGTGAGCATTTAAGAGAAATTGAGAACAAATATCTAATGTGTGCTAACTTCACACATACAAAACTGCTGGTATACAAAATATAACAAACGTTTCTCCCGTCATTTTCACTCATCTCTCACCCCATTTGTCACGCAGTTCGTCACACGGTATCTCTCTCTCTCTCTCTCACCCACACTCACACTAACATAAGTTTTCCCCTCCTAAAGCTAGCTCGCACACTTTTGGAACTGAATACAATGGGCAAAATCTTTACAGCACTTTTTGAGGCCAAGAGTTAGGCAAAGTGCTCAAAGCTAACCAAAAACCGCTCTCTTAGAAACCTCAACACCATGTTCCCAAAGGAATTCTGCAGTACTGACAAGGAAGTAAAACCGTGCAAGTGGAAGACCCTTTTTTTTTCCGTAAAGGCAAATTACATTAAAAGACGGATTTTGAAAACTTCTGACAAACACGAACGGCAAATGTGACACAGACTAGAACAGCGAAAAGTACAAAATTCACAAGGATGCCGTAAAACTCAGAGGTCACCCAAAGTTATCACTGTTTGCACGGAAGTGAAGCTGCGAGCCTGAAAAGTAGGCACTGCCAGTGTTGTCTGATGGCTTATGGCTCTTTGCCACATCATACCAATATCATACAAGTTAAAGCCACAGACACAAAAGACCCTGTTGGACACGGCTCAACTTTAGACGGTATATCAAAGAACCGTCAAGATGTTTTGCACATCAAAAACTGTCCTCTACAAACACAAACAGTATTTCCTTCAGGCTAAAAAGAACTGTTCACTCACAGGGTCACAAAAGAAAGAAAGAAAGAAAAACAAGCTAACTGCACCCAATGTCAGAATTTGGAAAAAGCTTTTTGAGACAACTTACATAAGGCATGCGTGAAAATGTGTACTTTTTTGGTTTTATAAATGCATCAAAATTCAGAAAATAGAGTTGTCTAAGCCCTTCCTAGTCCACTCAGCCTCATCATAAATCAGCTCTCTTCTCGTCACTGTCCACTGGGCTGTACTTTTTCCTTTTGAAGAAGCCGCACTAGAGAAGAAATTGAAAGGAACGTCACAGCGTGCTGTTTGTATTAAACTGAACATCATGGTACATCGCTTGTTTTAAAACGTCCGTTGAGCTTTGCGTTGTTGCAGAGGAAATGCTGGAGTCCACACGTCCAACTGTTGACAGCATTTCCTGACCTACCCATAATGCAGCCAACTTACCTTCCAGAGAATCAGGATGACCAGCAATAGGAGCAGGAGGCCCCCTAGCACCGCGAGAATGATTATCCAGCTGGGAACCCTCTTCACGACCGGCTCATCTGGGCTCGCTATGGTGGAGACCTGAATGCAACAGAAAACCCCAGAAATTTGCTGAAGCTCAGAGCGGCATCGCTTGTGATGCAGGGCACCAGTCAAAACGTGCACGGATGCCCAATGCCTGTGGCTGGCATACAAGTACTTTTTACAGAGTGCGTTATGTTCTGCTTTGATGCCAAACTGTTGCTGTATGGGCTTGCTTTCAGTAACTGACGGGTTGTGTCCAAATTATGGCTATGGCTGGAAATAACACTGCCACCTACAGGAGAGCCACCGGCTGGTGGCTGACTCCATTTCCCATAGACTTGTACATTATCACGAGCCGTAGCCGGCTAAGGATTCTTCTGACTGACAACACCATTACTACTTCAAATGTCAAGGCAAGATCCCTCTATCAAATGCCCCTCCCCTTCTCATGTCGTCCCCGAGAGTCTCTCTGATGACAAGCGGAGCTAACAGACCAACAGTCCTACCTCCATCATGACTTGGGGGAGCTCTGGTGGGGGTATGGCATAGGGAAGGTCCAGCACTCTGGCAACACCACGGGAGGAAATCTCAAACCGGTCATAGTCCGTCTGAGAGGGTTACAAGGGGGGAACGGCAAGTCAACAAAATGGCGGTGAAGAAGTTTGGAGCAAGACCGAGAAAAACTCACGACTGCAATATCTGGAAACATCCCGACTGCAACGTGTGTTCTTGGTCACCGTGACATCTATTGGCAGAGGTTTACCAGACCCTGCATTTGTCTCAGACTGTGGCTTTACGGATCTAGAAATCAACCAATGCAAGCCTTGGTTCCAACCAAACTGGCGGGAGAACTCAAGCAAATGTTGCCAAGACAGAGACCTGGATATGTGTCAAGTCGATGGCCCCCCTTCATTGGAGAGGGGGGGGCTTGAAAGCTACATCCAGCCGTGGCCGGCAGAGGCAGCTGGAGCCCAGGCTCAGTGCAACCGACGACGCATTACAGAGACCTCCAAGACTCACCTCGATCAGGGTGTTGTTCCACAGCCGGGCCACAAACTTGATGACCTCGCTCTCCCCGCTCTTCAGCTCCTGGATGGAGCAGCTGATGGACAGGCAGTTGCCCGTGGAGCAGTCCGCCTTACCTATTTGCTGCTCCGGCTGCTCTGCCTGGCGTCGCTTCCGGTCTGCCTCCACGTCACGGGTGCTGCTCACACTCTCGTTACCACCAGCTTGGGTGTCTTCTTCGATCTGAATTCATTTGGGGGGAAAAGGAGGACTACATGCTTTTTTTCAGGGAAGCCTGGGTCCAATTTTTCAATTACCTTCAAGCACAACTGCTGAGAGTGGAACAAGCCCCAAATACCAACCCCAGTTTTTAAAAATGCTTTCAAAGATGCACACTGCTTTACCTTCCTGGTTCTTGCTATTAAAACACATCAATGTGGTAAGCGATATTCTGCATGGTGGTTCTATGAACTAGGGTCCAACTAGCACTCATTCTTAAAGCTCAGTTTTGCTTCAGGTTTCAGTTCCATACAACACAACAGGCTATGGATCTTTGTGGGCTTAAACACTTTCTGTAGCACATTTTACATAACGCCCTATCTGTTAACGAACCAATATTTAACGCCTCTTTTTTCCAGCCAAACTGATGACGACACGTTTTGGGAGTCCCGGGTGAAGCTGAAAGAGGAAATGACAGCCAGGTTTCGGAAACAAACAACCGAAACTGAGGCTTACCGTGAGGTTCAGCGGGTTGACGGCCCCCTGGACATTGCAGCGACTGCCCAAGCTGGGCTCCACCCGGATCAGATACAGCAAGAAGTCGCCGTCCTCGTCCCGCATCGGCCAGGAGACATCGAAGGAAGTCCGGCCGGCATTGCTGGGTCCTGCGTTGCTTACCTGAGGATGAGTACAAGCCGTAAATCCTGTAGATTTGTGGGCATCAGGAAAACTTAGGGACTGTGTCTAAATGGTAGAACGGCCAAAACAAAATGCTTGAAAAACATTACTGCCGCGCACCTCATAGACGTGAACGACGAGAGGACCTGCTTCGCTATCCTTGATGATCTCGGGATTGTCGATGCCGTCGGGCGTGAAGGCCACCTGCGCTGGTATGGAGCGCCTGAAATCATTGATGGAATCAATAAATGAGCTGGTAATCCAGAACGGATGAAAAAAAAAAGAGCAAACTGTACTTAAGTCATGACAAAATGTCAGAATTTCATTTCCTCATCGTTAAAAAAATGCAGGAACCCCCGATGTAGGATCTCCTCGGCCAGCAGCCCTCCCTCCCCGGACATTAAATCCTGTGACTGTAGTAGAGTACCTTGCTGAGGGACACGGCTTGACTAGTCCCAAACACCCAACAAACTTTTGTCAGTAAAATCTGTTTTTCTTTGAGTCCACGCGTTCCAACCTCCGCCACAAAACCTTCCGTCAGACACTGTTACAATTCTATTTGATTCGAAATGACCAGACTAACTTACCCCAGTAGCACCACATCTACTTTTGCTTTGACTCCCACCGTGATGTTCAGGTAGTTGTTGATCAACTTATCTGGGGATGCCTCCAAGTTTTCACTGAACACAAAACATGCAGAAACGTTGTGAAATGGACGGCAGCCACAAAGGAAGGCCTAACGTTAGTTTTTTTCACGTTACGTTGCCACAAGCAATCGAAGCGAACATGACCAGTGGACAAAAACGGGCTCCTTTCAATCTGCACCTCGTACCTAAGTTGAGATTTTTTTTTTGGCACAACAGTGGGGTTCAATGTGAGACGATGGTCCCCCTTACCTCATGGCCGACAGAGCAAACGTGACGGATGACGTGTCCCCGATCAGTTGGAAGCTGGAGAACTTGAGACCAAAATCGGCCTGCAAGATGCAACAAAATGGAGATATCTGAGGCTACTCAACTCACAAATCTACAAATCAATGGGGTTTTGACGAGCAGGCTAGTGCATTAACCAGTGATGACGTCGATGGCATTGTCTGCGAACATGCAAGGTCGTGACCACAATATATTGAGGTCTCAAAAAGTAAAACTCGGATTCAGTCATATCTTGGCATTCGGACGAAGTAAATTAAGGGTGAATTGTGGGTTCATGACGGAACGGGGAAACCTTCCCACTGAACCACGTCTCCCCGGGATGACATCACAGCTACGCTGCCCTCGGCGGTCCAGGAAAAGCAAGGCTAATTTTAAACGTTTAAAATGTGCATTTTTTTCGATGCATCTACCCTAAGCTTCCAGGATTCCTACTCACCTTGGTCCCACCGATGAGTGGGTTACCAACATCGCAGATGATGGTATCCACTTCTGTATCATCGCTGCAAGTGATCGAAAAATCCTGCGCCACAAAAAAAAGGGTTTTTCCCATGGGAAGATATGATTAATTATATCTAAGATGTATGTTGGAACGATGTTTAGATGTAATCACCAAGCCAAGCGGTTAAGAACGCAACATTTCGCTACTCTTCTAAAAAAAACATACGAATGAGAATGAAAAGCAAAAACCATATACTTAAATTGAAAAACAATTCAGATTTGATTGGTTGGCCGACTCACGCTTTCCTTTCGTTGGACGCGCACAAACTGCAACCCTGTCGGCACGACGACCCTCAAGGTTGCTAGGAAGGCATCCTCTCCCCGGTTCAGTATTTCGATGTCCAGGATGATGGAGTCGCTACTGCCAATCACCAAATCACTGGTAGACCTGCATGTACATTATTGGGGGAAATAAAAATGGTAACCACCCAACTGTTAGGGAGAAACAAAAAAAAATCGTGAAAAACCCGGCTGGCTGGCTTGCCCCGAGCTGAAAAGTCTCATTTCGTAACGCTGAGAAATTGTGGTTGGTCTGGTTCACATTTTACTCACGTGGATGCTTTCACGTCCAAGTCGGGGACACAAATGTTGTCCTCGCAGTTGTTGTTGATGTACACCTGAAAAGACGCCCAAGAAAAGTTAGGACGCGAGTATTCAATTCACTTGGAGAGCGGGAAAAGAAGGACCTTTGGAAATTATCAACCTTGCTATTATACACGTCGACAAACAGAAAAATGCCCTCCTGACACACAAACCAAACATGTACTTCAAAAGTCTGGGAATGCATTTCAAAGAATCTAATTGGATCAGGGGCGCGAGTGGCCACTGAAATGCAAAAAGTTCCCATACTTTTGTACAGACCAGGTGTACAAAAAAGCTGAAATTCAGGGTCAACATCTAAACCCCCAAAAAGCTAAAATCAGCTAAAAAGCTGCACTCTCACACCCCTGTTGGATGGAAACTAGAATGAAAAATTATTTTGACAGTACAGACACGGGCGTGGATGAGAAACTAAATATGACAGTTTACTGGGCCTCAGCCCTGGGCGATTTCAGGACCCAGTCAGTGTTCAACTCTTGGAACAGTTCCCATCCAAGAACCGGGATCCAATCGGGACAGTTTCCTCTCTGTACCTGCTCCATGGTGACAGAGGAGGATTCCGCACTCAGGAAAGGCTGCAGCTCGTAGGGAGCGAAGACGGCATCCTCGTCGTTCAAGCTGTACTCCAGGTTGATAGAGATTGGACGAAGTTTATCCCTGATGCCCGCCTAGGTCAGAAAAAGAATATCAAACACATTTAAAAAAAAAAAAAAATTTCACACAGAAACCTTTTGACGTCAACCCTCCCCAAAATAGGTTTACTGAAGTTGTGGTACAATCGAACTTGGAGTGAAAAAAATGTGTAGCTTTCATTATCACAGTTGTTTTCTCATTACTTGTGGTAACATATCTTGCTTATGGACACACATGCAAGCGGGAACTGTACCTTGACATATGCTAGGTTTTCTCGGCACCATTCGGTGTTCTTGGTCAGCTCCATTTTGGTGATGTCCTGGTTGGTTCCCGGGGCTGAGCCATCAGCAAAGAGCGCCCTCGGGTTGACCATCTTCAAGGAGTCCAGGGACAGCTTGTACTGTATTTCTGCGACAGGCCGACAACACAGCAAACAAAATCAAAACAAACAAAATCTCACAGCCAGGGCCAAAGTGGGAAGCAGTTGAGGAGAAAGACGGCTGAGGACAAACCCTGACCACAATCGAAATCTCGGTTCATCTTTTGGAGTAACCCAGCACACCCTGGTTGCCGTTACCGGGCCAGCCTGGCAGCGCTGCGGTTTCAGGGAGGAGCCAAACTTCGTCAGCAAATTCTCTGCAGCTTTGGCTCCCTACAGGCAATCAAGCCTTGTGCGCCGGGAAAAAAAAATGGCCACACTACGAATTCCTCAATCTTGACAAAAATCTCCAAAAAAAACCCCCCTGGTGAATTCTGAAGAGTCTCGGAGGATTTGAGGCATGATGTCGAATGGAATGGAACTACTCACGTGCAGTGTCTGGAATGTGTTTGCCTTTGTACGTTAAACAGGATGTAATCTCAAAACTGCAAAGAAGGTAACAACGAAAAGAGAAAAGATTGAATGTGATGAAACTGAATACTAGTGATTTGATTTATGTATTATATTTCTCGATTGTCATCAGATTTTTTTTCTAATAATGACCTTGTTGCTAGACTCCCATCAGGCAGTAAGTGAGTCTTGTTCTCCAAGTTGATTCCCTCCGGTGAAACAGAGAGAAAAGCTTTTAACAAAATAACTGGACGAGATCTGAAAAAAAAGAAGAAAACCAGTTAATCCAAATAATTGAGAATATACAACAAATGATTGAATACTAACCTAACAAAGGTTTGGCTTTTTAATTTTTTTTCCACACAATAACAAACTTTCACACAATAACGAACACTTTTAAAATATTTACGTGAAATTAAAAATATCCCATGTTCCAGTCAATTTCTAGCAAGGGAATTTTCCCTCGAGACTTATTAAAAAACTAGTTCCTTTCTCAAGCTCAAAGAATAAAGTAAAAGTGATTCCCTTGTTTAATCAAAATGGATGATGGAAGTCTTGATTGCATCATCTGTCCTTACCGTACGAGTACTGCTAAATCTGAGTTCTGGGCTCCAATTAACAGATCTGCGAGACAGAGGACAATATGGTAAGACGGTTGATGAATTGGGAAAGAAATGAATAGAACCTGACAGAGTCCACACGATGAATACTAGAAACGATTGGAACCTTTGAGTATTAAAGTGCTCACATGCTTTAAGAATGAAATTGTGTGGATGAAGGGTAACGCAGCACCTCAACCGCAGTGACACTTTGCCAGCACTCCAAAGCCTAAGACTACAGCTTGTAGGTAAAGGCCGGTTCATACTTGGGAGTGAAAGCGAACACAAATGCGAATTTGTGACGTCAAATCAAATATTCACGTTGCAAATTTGTAAAAGGTTGAGCACAGTTCAACTCGAGAGAAATTTCCCTGCAAAGGTGTGACATCAAGTTTGCTTCGCTTTTGTATTCGCCTGAAGTATGAACTGGCCTTTAGGCAGTCTTCATACATCCTGACTGTGGCTAGAGAAAGCACGCCCGTCCACAGAAGACACTGGCTAGAGGCTACGGCCTCTTCCCATAAACATGTGCATTATTTGAAGCCACAACCACAACGTTTGGGACACGGCCCAAGAATGGTGGCACGTTTTTCAACAGAATTCTTCACCTTTTTTTGCATTCAGTTCTCGGGCGAGGCATAACTGGCACTGCCTACCTGGGTACTTATTTTTGTCCATGTCCAGCCCTCCAGACAAAGCGTAGCCAAATGTTGTCACATTCTGAAGGTTGAAATCAGCTGCTCTCAAAACCTGACGTAAAATACAAAAGAACACCTATTTCTCCAATCCAAACAAGTGGCGACCAGGCAAACAGAAACAATCAGGACAAGGCGCGTACATGGCGACTGAAATATTTTTGTCTCACTAGGAACTACAATAAGAAAGTGGTCAACAGTATTACAACTCAGTTTACTTTAAAACTGGACGCTGAACTCAAAATCAGTTCCTGGCAACACGAGATGCACTTTTTAGCATCAGACTGGTTTGCTTTCAGTACATATGATTACTAGAGACACACTGGCTGTCGAAGTCAGACAGGGCCCGAAATTTAAATCCTGTCCAACCAACTGGGCAGACCAACAACCCAGGGCTATGTACAAGGTTTAGTTGATTAGTACTGCAGTGGCAAGCTATTCCCGTGGTCTGAAGTCCGACGCCCCCTATCGTCAGTCTTCTTCGTTCAGCCCACAACCAACTGGCTAGTGCGTTCACCTACCTGCGTGCTCCTGAGCCGCAGTCCGTCTGGTGTCCCAAGGTGGATGAATACCACACCTTCCTGGTTGTCACCCTGGTATGGTGCCCCGATGGCTACGTCTGTCATAAACGATGATTTGAACACGGCCTTAGTCTGTTTCTGTTCAAAAGCCACGGCTGTGGCTAAAAATAGCACATCTACCACCGGGGAGCCACTGGCTTGCTGTGTCTGACAACAGACCAATGAAATGGGAGGAATGCTCATAAATATGTATGAAGTGTAATAAAAGCCAGTTCTTACCATTGTAACTGTCCTGGTTGACATCTCCTAACGACGTGATGGATGACCCCAGCCGTGACCTTATCATCTCACCGGTGATAGTACTTGGTTCAGAAAAACTATGCTGTAATCCCCCAAAAAACCAAAATCCAAAAGTCAAACCATTTTTGTGTATTTTTTTAAACACAAACCTCTTGTAAAATACACCTTTGTTTCTCCATTAACTTTGCTGTCAATTTTTTTCACAATTTCAAAGAGTCTTTTGGTTCCCTTGTTGCTTGTATGCTAATGAGTATTTCCATATTCATGAGCAAAACTGTGATGTCACTTTAGGAAGAATTCCTCAATGTTCCATTGGTTTCTCCACAAACAACTGCTGATTGTTTTTTTTTACAAATGTTAGTTTTTCTAATTGTGTCCAAAAAAGTCTCCGCCACTACACTTCAAGTCATGGCTAAGATTGTTTTTGAAACAAGACACATTGCTTGCATCAGCATTTCTCTGATCCGTAATGATATTTTACAAAGCTCCAAAAATCTTGACGCAAACCCTCACCGTGTTAAAGCTAACACACCGAAAGCTCCTTAAAAAGAGGATTTTGCACAACTAAGGACAGTACACCCTTCCAACGTTACCTAACATGGGGTACAATCCTAGAAAGAGCCACTGGTCTAGTGTAAGAGGTTTTGTCCGGATTCAGGAAGATTCAAGACGGCCTCGGATTAAAGGGAAACTTTTCAATTAACGTTTACGAAAAATGGAACTGAAGGACTCACATCTGCATTTTGGTAGTAAATGTACACCCTCCCTGCCTCCCATTTCTCAACCGTTGTCCGCCTGTCAGAGAACATGGGTGCTCCAACGATGACATCATCCAACCTGCAATGAGTATAAACCCAGGCAACAGCTTAAACAGAATTCATGTCACTAAATTCAGACTTTTTTTTCAGGTGACTCTCTGAGTCACTGTCTCAGCTTCCTTGTCAAGCAAAGCTCTTCAGATGACTCCCCGTTGCCAAGGTAACAAATGATATCTCATCCTGAGGGAACAGGTAAGATTTTGTGGTCAATAAGATGGAGTGGTCGTCATGCCAACATGGTTATGTTACAGCACAGCCTTTTCAACTTTACAAACTCCAACGTGACAAAAACATCTAAATATGCTTGTCGCCCCGAAGAAGAATTTTTGCGCCAGTTGCCATGACAACTGTAAAATTCACTTTGGGGCAAACTCAATTGATGCCCACCTCCTCGCCAGTGCTAGGATTATATTTACTCCTGGACCAGGTTTGGCTGGGGGTTGGCCGAAAGTCTAATGCAGCTGACTCCAGAGGGGATGTACACTAATGCACAGATGATGGCATTTCTGGATACGGCCACTGTTCGCAAATTCCCTTTTTGCCCTTCCCAAAGTAATCATTATTTACACGGCAAACTGAGTTCTCTCGCGAGAGCTTACAGCGGGGTAAAAAAAAAGGAGCTCTACACCCACGCTTTGCTGCTTTCCAACTAGTGAAGCCAATCCAGTGAAAATCCTGCCGTCTCACCTCTGACCATCTGACAGAGCTCTTGTCCCCGAAGGTTCTAATGGAGGTGTACGGCGAGAGCGGCAGTGAGCCAACTCAAATAGCCAAAAGAACACCAAAAATAACAAACATCACTACAACTATCAGGGAGGTGAAACCGGCGAGCGTCAATCCTAGCAACACAGGCAATGTAAACGTTGACAAATGGCCACAAGGACAACAAACGCTCCCAACTGAGAGCCTCGCGTCGACGAGGCATGTTGACAGCAAAGTGCTGGACTAACACATCTGGGACTGCTCCGGTTGGCCACTCTAAGAAGTCTGAACCCATCCAGCACTCCACAAATGCATATCACTTGTTCAGTCAATTTCCCCCGTGAAACTAGCTTCCTCCCATCAAAGTCATCGGGATGAATCGATGACCAAACAAAATATTGACCGACGCAACGTGCTGTCAGCTCCATGCAGAGAGAAGAACACACGTTGAATACTGAATACGATCCCACATGCTTTTTTTTTTTTCTAGAAACACAGCTCTTCTGGTCCAGCACAAAATGCAGAGTTGTGGCTTCACGTTAAACTATGAAAAGAAAATACTTGTATAATGGAGGTTGTTCCTCCTGTAAAAACAAACAAAACAAGTGTATGGGAAATTTATAAATTTGAAGAGAAGTTTAGGACCCCTATTTTTCCACATTTTGTAAAATGAACATGGGAAACTAAATTCACAACATTTTACAGTAACCAAGCAAAGGTCTGGGAAAGTACCTTAACCACCAAACTACAATTCAGGCACAAATCCTCCGTGAGGGAGCACAAAGGGAAGGTCGGTTTCAATGAATCAACGCCCCCTTTGCTGTCATGCGTAAGGGAATTTTCGTTCTCTGCTAACGTAGCATGCTTACCCGTCATTATTGACGTCTTCAGCGACCACTGCATAGCCAAAGTATGAGGCAATCTGCTCCCCTTGCAATTCTGCAAGGGGTTGCAAGTCCTTGTCAAAGATGGTGACCTGAATGGCAAAGGAAACATCGATAGTGAGTTAGCTTAACTTTGCAATATTTGGGTTCATTCAAAGTAGGGCCCTAGCAATTTTCTAGGAGGGAGCAGCTGGCCTTCCCAAAACTTGTTCTCAGTACCTTGGGATAGTGATGTGAGAGGTTCCAACAAAATGTCTGTGCTTTTTATGGGGAGCAGCGGGGTTAGAATATGTATCTACAGGAGGGCATATTTTTTGAAGACTGAACTTGGGGGGCATTTTAGGAGATGAAAACATTTTTTGGAACATGTTTCTCAAATATATCATTTCCTTGAAAGGTCCTGAACTTTATGGAAGGCTTTGAAGGAGGGGGGGTCAAAAACGAAGGCTTGCTTGACTTGTACGTGACTCCAAACGGGAACAGCACTAAATGCTGGTTGTTATGGAATGATTGACAATATTGCTCTTATTTCAGAAACAAAAGCTGAGTATAAACTGAACAAGTGTTCCTTAACAATTGACAAACTCTTCTTCTTGTAATCAAACGGCCCATCCCTATGTTGATTTGTGAAAAGCCAATCTTCACCGTGTGAAGTGATTACGGAATAAACCCCCCTTACAAGGAAGAAAATCCACAATTGTGCTACAACAACAACAATGAACGGAATTGACGGGATAAGGCTTCAGGGGGGGGAATTTCCACCTTCAAGACAAAGACCACCAAACAAACACTCCTCAATCTAAAAAAAAGGAAAACAAACAAGCTGGGTCACTTTCCATTTCCGCTGAAGGCCCGATCGTTTCCCTGCTGTGTTACTCACTTTGCCTGTCAGATAATTTCCCCTCGGTGCTCCCACGACATACTCGGGTTGGCCGTCACCGGTGAAATCACCCAGTGCCACAGCAAAGCCTGAAACCAAAACACAAAACCCCAATGAAAAATAATTCATGACTTGCTCCATCTGGTCCATGACTTTTATCCGTGATCCACGTGGCTACAGAGAAGAATGCGTCTGTATTTCTGCTTCAGAAAGGGGTTGAGAGAGACATCAGTATCAATAACATGCTGTGGGATCTTTTTTTTTTTAAAGGTGGAATCTCTTTTTAAAATTAAAGGCACCGGACAGTTTGAAGTATTTTGTAGTTCAGCTCCCCCCAAAGAGACATTGATCTTGAAAGTTTCCCTCAAGCTTGAGAAATGTTACAAACTGATCATCCCTTCAGCCTTGCTTGCCGATTTCTCTGAAACATGGCGAGATTTTCAGAGAAGGTCGACACCCAGAGATTTCTGGCAACCCTCTGGGTGTTTAGCACAGAGTCAATTAGGTCGTGATTACACGCACGCGTCGGAAGCATGAAAATAAAACCAGAGGTGGTGAAAGTGAAAGGTGATCTTCAGACAAATAAACCAACTTCCTGATGAGAGACAGGTGGCCAAGGAAAGTCTCAACTAACACAGCCAAGTGACTCGCGATGCTGCTTCTGAGGACACAATTCCCAACACAGAATGAATAAAAATCTTACCCCCTTCTGCTCATCATGCTCCCACGAGTTTGGGAGCGTGAGAAATAACTCTAACATCGTACCAGAGATTGTGACCTTACAGGAAACAAATAGACCTTGTCATGTTTACACATTCCTTAATTTTCAGGAAAATAAAAGCTAGACACGGGCCCCTCTTTGCATGTTCGTAGATGTATGGTTCTCCATCGGCATTATGGGCTTGTACATTGTTAGTGAGCACATTCGATGCGAACAATGAATTATTCAGTTGACAATAGAGCTGCAGCACCCTCGCTAGCATCTGTGGACTAATGATCCACCTGCGTCCTCTTTTGTAAGCGCAATGCTGGCGATAAATCACCCAGAGCTTCCGTAGCATGGCAACTAATGCCGCTTTGCCCGACGACAGCGCTTTTTAATCGGCGTCTCGGTAATGGCCCGCACAGATACAGTTTTACAGAGTTCCATTCCGGGTGATTCAAAACTTGCATTGAGTTGGTCCTAAACGGCCTTTGATGATGTCGAGTTCAGGGGGGGGAGGAGGAAGGGTAGGGGCAGTTAAAATTTTTAACAAATTTTTTTTAATAAGTTCTCACATTATTTAAAATATTATTTCCATTTTTGAAAAGATATTAGAGTTCACTGACGAGACACCTTGAGGGAATCAACCCTCGCATAATAGCATTACTTGTGAGGTAGATTACTACTGAAATTCAAGACAACTAAATTGACAACGACAACAATCCACAGAGTTTAAATGACTAAACATCAGTGACATCAAATAACTGATTTCTATAGTTTAGCCCAGGTTTGCCGTTGCATAAAACTGCAGGGCCCAGGCACCTAGCACATTGAATCTCGGTCTTGAAACGAGACTATACCATCCTCAATGATGACCGTCTGGAGAGAAGCCTACAATGTGGCCTTGTCCAAGGTGAGAGCCATAGTAATTGATTGCCTCTCCACAGTTAAGGCAGCGGGCCAAGGCTTTTTCTCCTCCCCATATTTGCTGGTACATTTTTAGGAGTGGCCGAAGACCACGGGGTCAGCAAGGCAGACAGGTGGTCATTTCAACAGAGCCTACCACAGGCTCAGTAAGAGGATCATGTTTTATTGCTCCAAATATTGGAGAAGCAGGGCAATAAAGTTTTACTGCACATGTGTCTGAGTAATCCCAGTCATACACAAACAAAGCACTCAACATTCTCTCCAATAAGTGCTGTGGTAATGTTTCGTTATTCAGGGGTCGGTTTCAGGGGTCGGTTTACACCAGCTCCGATCATCTCCTGTTTACCGTGAAATCAATACACTTTTAATTTCTGATTAAATGTCTGGCCTTGACCGCACATATATCCTGGAACGGTTTCTCTGTGAACTGACGAGAGGAAATTCTGCAGAAATATTGGCCAGAAAGCACTGCTTTGTGGAAAAAAACCCCCCAGATTTTCAAAGAACATTTTTTACTGGGAAAGGGGCCGGGAATTGGCAGTTTGAGCTGTGAATGTTAGTCTAATCCCATGCATCAACCCAACGTACCGATAAACTCGTCAGCAAATTTTTTTTTCTGGCACTGTTACGAAACAAATGGTTTCTGTTACCACCTTGTCAACCTTTCTTTTCTCTGATATTACTTCCTCTGCCTCTGCTATATTTATTCTCAAATATAAACATCGAACGGATCTCACTGGGATTTTTCCCAGGGGGTTAAATCTCCCCTTTTTTCCGAGGGAGGGGGCAAAGTGCTCATCAAATACAAACTGGTAAAAATGACCAGTGTGAAGGGGGCATTTTCGAGCTGTCTCCCACGGGAGACAGGTTCCTCCCTTTCCTCTTACCATGACGCCCATGCATGCCAATATCAATTTCAATCCAATTTCCATTACAATCAATCAACATCTGAATGCCCGTAGGTTTTTTTTTGTTTTGTCTTCCTCTGTTCTTTTTCTTTTAGCTTATTCTTATTCACTTCACAATCGAGAGAGTGAACCGATTACATTTTCCATGGACAAAAACGCCTCACCGCTGTAGCTGTCATCGAACTTCGGGTCCAACTCCGGTGTGGCCAACGGCGCAGCATTCGATGTGAGGTTCTGGACGTAAATTTGACCTGCAATAAGGAAAAAAAGTAGAAAAACAAAAGGAGAAGAGGCAAAAATAAAAGTAGGTCAGCTGCCTCATGTTGACCCAGGATAAATATTCCCGTCAAACCCCGTGACAACAGCACAAACCACTGGAGGGGATATTGACATTTTTGCTGTTATTAAATTTCCTAACATTTGCGACTGATTACCCGTAGGGAGCCCCCACACGAGATGATGACGAATGAGCATCATGATGAAGTTTGTACAAGTACGGGTTTGGCTGCCGACTTGTCCTGGTTGGACCGACAAGGTCAGGGAAGGGTCACAGTTGGATGAAGTCTGTTCTTTTTTAACAAAGACAAGTTCCATTGTTTCGGCCTTGCCGTGAGAACGACCTGCAAAGGACATCTCCTCAACAGTCTGGATGAAAGCTGTCTGTACTGGAGGACTACCTTTTTACTGAAGAGCCCTTTGCACACTGGTAAACACACGCACACTCACCTTACATACCTACTGTGGACATTCCTGTCTTTTCGCGCAGTTAAGAAAACTCAGTGAAAATACTCATTTTTCTTGAACTGGGAACACAATTTTCAGCTGGCTTTTTGTACAAGGTTTCCTTGCCTATTCCTCTTTCTTTTACGACGGATGACCCCTACCCCAAAATGCCTCTAAACTTCTTTTTCAGAGAAGGGGAAACGTCCTGTGGACGTGTGTAAGTCCACAGAACGTCTTCCTTTCCTGCATAGTGTGGACATCTTTTGTTCACAAGTCCACACTAGGTATGTAAGGTTAGTGCTAATTGTGTAAACTGTGGACAGTGTGTGCTTGCAAATAAACTGTCCTTTCAATAGATAACAAGGTGTGTTCCAAAGATCATATGGTGCCGCAAAGCGGCGCAAGATGGTGAACTTCACCGTGAATACACGTAAAACATTGTAATCGCATGGGTGCCAATTGAGCAAGCGATACGCCTGCCCAATGCACATTAATGCACAGGTGCAGGTGCCGTAGCAGGCGCCTGCACCTGGTGAGCCTGCGCTCAAGCATTACCGTGAACCGCGCAGGCCTATCGTTTGCTAGAATGGCACCCATGGTAATTACACCCTTTGGGCAGAGTTATCCATCTTGCGCCGTAGGTGCTATACCATCTCTGGTGCTCTCTACTGTCATTGTGCAGAACCTGTTGAGCCTGCGAGTTCTGTGATTGTGACGCAGGTACAAAGCACTAGCATTTGCTAAACAGCATTTTGGAGTCTCCTCACAGTAAGTTTTAAGACACATTATCTTAACATGTGCTGAAGTGGTCACAAATATCAATCACTGAAATATTTTTTTAGAAAGAGGCAGCAGAGCAGTAGTCACGGGTGTGTGACCTAATGATCCTTAATCCTCCTATGGGCCCCCCCCAGCAGGACAAAAGAGAGGGCGTGATTTTCTTGGCAAGGGATGCTCCTTTGGCAGGAATTTCATTTCGCTGACTATGAAATGCACGCCTTATGGGCGTGTTGCCGCCAACAAAACAGACACTCCTGACCAGCCCGGGTTAGACTGGATGAGGCGGGTGCTTCTGCTCAAGGCAGATCATTGAAAGATTGACAACTGTGAGGGTTAAGCTTCATGGAAGCCCTCAGTAAGTGTGAATACGAGGCCCAGTTCCCGCAAGGACAAGGGTCAAGATTTAAGAGAGACTCTCAGTTTAAACCCTGTACATTTGGATATCAGTCCTTTCCCTTTAACAGCAAATCTCCGTCAACTCGGTGTCACGCCCTATAGATCCGACCCTGAATGACACATGACCTTTCATATCGCTACCTATTATGGATGGCCATAACTACCTTCAAAAAAAAAAAGATTCTGTTTTTTTTTTATCTCTCCTTCCCACACACCTGCGGATATCTGTCACTCCACAAAAGGTCACCCGGCTGATCGATATCACAACATCGGGGTGAGGGCGTTATGCCTTGGCACTGCCGTGCAGAAGGGGGAGGGGCAGTGGTGTGGCAAGGGAAGGGGAAAGGGGAATGGCAAGGGGAGGGGACAAAGCAAGGAGGGGAGGGGTGCAGATGAAGAAAACTGTCTGGAAATCTCTCCTTCCATGACCGGAAAATTAAAGTTAAGAAAATTGTTTTCTTTGTTTGATAAATTTGCAATAATTTTTACAAGTTGGATTTTGACAACAGTGCTTCCAGGATTTCTCCCCAAGCGGTTTTGGTAACCTGGGGAAAGGAAAGGTGTACATGTACAAAGGTGGGCGGGGCCCGCGGACCCCACGCATGACAGAGCTGTGATACACTCCAACTGCACTAACACCAGGCACATCAAGCAAACCAGAGGAAGCATTTTCAATTTAGCAAATAATACGTAAGTGTGGATTTCCCATCATCTGTTCTTCGAGGAAGTGGTTTAGGGGAAGCACCATGCTGTACATTGCTGAACTATGTATAAATGTTTACCGGGAAATTGTGGGTTGGGCATGACAGGCACTGGAAGGCTTCAAACCACAAAAAAAGTGCCTCCACCCTTGTTTTGTGGAATGAACAGCAGACGAAGATCTCAAATGCAGAAAGAAAAATCAGACAGTCCCGTCTTCTCTCTCTCTCTCTCTAAAGCCTTTTAACTCACTCTTACCTTGTAAATAGAAACTTCCAGCAGCTCCCATAACGAGAGTATCCTGAAAAAAACCCAAATGTTACCAATTTATTAACTGTTAGAAATTTTCCTGGAAACAGAGATTTTGATAATAGGTGAAATGAGAACCTGTATCTTTGCATGCCATTTCCAAGTAAATATGCAAAGAGATGAGCAAAAGTCAAATCACCAAATGTCATTGACGTCAGAAATACTCAGCACGATCGGCACCAGTATATTTTAGTGAGTAACATCAAGGATGGACTGAGATTCCAATCACAGCCCAAGATTCCCTGTCTGCTTCAGGTCCAAGATTCTACCGAGTTCAGGTCTTCCCCAACTTCTCCTCCATGTCATTCCAGTTGGAAGCAGTTTAAATCAGTCCCTTCTTCCTAGCATCAAACCAACCATCAAGAGTTCTGTCCTTTGCTACTTTTAACACAGAGCTTGATAGGGCCAGTATTTTCTCTCTCTTTTTTTGGTCCCTTATTGTGAGCATCATCTTTAATGAATGCGGGCGTACATGCGCGTATGCAAATGGAGCTCGCTGTAACCGACTCCAGACTTGATGGCTTTGAAGAAGCGCGACTAACGACCCATGTGCCTCGGCTCAGGTTTTTCATATGGCATCAGATGATAGACATCTAATCGTTATTTTGCACACAAAAAAAAACACAGAAAAATATACGAGGTGAAAATGTCAGAGGTGGCGCGGTGAGGCCTCCAACACTGCCATTTAAGAGTTTTCCTGATGCCCAAGCTAATCCGATGTTAAGTCATAAATTTTGAAGAATGTCAGCTGAAAGAAATTATAAGGGGGGAGGGAGGGTAGGTACATGCGCTCCGAAGGGAAAAAAAAATTGTAAGCAGATGGTGAGAGATATACTTTGTTGTAGCATTTCTGTGGTGTCTTTACATGCATCCAAATTCAATTTAGCACCCTCTTTGATAAGCACCGGACTTGGTGAAGTCATTTTGGCTCCCTCATCCCGAATTGACCAATATGTTCCAAACAAAGCAAAGACAAACTGCGAGCAGCAACTGCTGAAATTCAGTGAAGCATTTTAGGAAATGCAACTACATGCACTTCAAAATCTGAATCTAATCTCTGAAAATAAAACGGCATTAACGTAATTCATTCGCGGCATTTACATGATTCAACAAACAACTTTTTTTTCTCCCAAGGAAGAATCCCTCACTCGCAAATGTCAGATGTGAATTGATTTCCATCTCAGATGAGACAAGGCTAAAAACGGTTTAAGAAGCCGGAGCTAATTCTGACATTTCCGGGCATTGCCATGGTAACGCACAGGGGTTTCTTTGCAACGCTTTTCATTAGAAAGAAAGCACCCACTCTCTCTCTCTCACTCTCTCTCTCTCACACACACACGCAGACACAAAGGGTGAAGCGAGGCCAGGGACTAACAAGGACTAGTCCCAACACACAGTTCACAGTGGCCATCGTGGGTGGTGATGATGTTACGCATCATCACCGCCGGGTCCCCATCTGCTGCGGGCTTGCCGACGTTGCAGTGCGCCCGACGCATGAAACCCGATTGTCACTGGGAAAGCGTTGCCGAGGTGCGAATACCCGTTTGCGGTGGGAGGTGAAGCATAAAAAACTGATGCATTTACGCGTGTACAATCGGCATGTTTAATTCAAGTGACCAGAGTGATGTTTTTTGGCCGCCTAGACGCAGGTGTCGTAATAAAGGCAAACCTCGAGGGAACACAAGGTGTGAAACGCCAGTGCAACCAATGTTGTTTGAGGGACAGAATCGGTATTTTTAAACATATGAATCAAAGCGAAATGATTTTAAAAGCGAGTCATAACAAAGACAAACATTACAAAATCTTGCTAAAATGGTCTTCATTCACTTCCTGTGGAAACACACGTCTTCGAGGGGCCAAATGTAAAAGTGTAAATCGCTCTGCATTTCAACATTTAATTTCAAAGTAAGGAAAATCATTTTCAGAGGCAAACTCTACAGGATTTGAAAGACCTCTCCCCATCCAAATGATCTGCCATATTCTGTTTTGATGCATACTCATATCTTGATTTGTTTTCATCACGTGTGTGCATGTAATGATCAACCATTGGCACAGGCAACTCACTGATATGGCAAGTAATTGAGCATAGATATTGTGCACAAACACCCATCTGTTGTGTTCAATCGAGCTTTCAGATCTGAATAAGAAATCAAACCAGCACTAAATGCTATTTCTCTAATTTGAGAGAAGGCGGTCATGGTTACTTACTTTGGTAATTTCAGCACTGAAGCCTGCTTGACAATGCGTCACACCTTTGAATCCCCAGAGTTTAACTGAAATGAACAACAGAATAACACACTGCAAAGTGAACCAAGAAGTTGGGCATTTACATTTCCTCTGGGTGGTTCAGATGCCTTGTGACATGATTACCTTCGGATTCTTCCCCTCCAGAAACTTAAAACGGGCAGAAAGCAGTTCCAATTGCCCAGCCACACCGCTGACGTGTTTGCCTGAAAACAGTCAGGGATGTTTGGAGAAGTCGACTGCACTACTGCAGGATGTTGTTGTATTTGAATAACCCGATCAGATCTTGGCTCAGAGCGCCGAAGTAACAAGAAGCATGTACTCTATTCTGGTCTTCCCATCACCCCATCCCACCCCTCCCCCAGCCCTCCCAGGCATACGGAAGAGCCACTTCATCTGTGACTGCTGTTACGCTTTTGTCCGCATGAGAACAGAAATACCGAGATGGACTTCCACCAACACTCTGGCAGAAGATTTCAGCACTGAACCTTCCCTGCCGATACCNCCCTGCCGATACCGGATTCCCCCCCCCCACACACACACAACTCCCCCTCAAGCCACCCCTCTCCCTGCTAAAAACCTCATTTCGGTCCATTAGGCGTTCCGTGCGTCGCGTGCACCGGGCAGCAGAGGGTGACCCCCTCCCAACCCCCCTTTTTTCTCTCTGCTGAGCCCGGCTGAGTGGCTTCGCCTAGGGGGCAAATCAAGACCCGCACTTCCGTCCCACTGCGCTGTGTATTGATTGAAACGGGGGGATCCATAAACTCAAACCGACCGACTTGGAGCAGGGACGAAGCTCGACTCGACCAGGGGAAGTTATCGCTGATTGATTGGAGTCCCCACTCTTCCACACATGTCCCCTTCTCTTCTCCTCGTTGTTTGTTGGTTGAAAGGTGACTGATTTTGTTGTCTTTTCTTGGCCCCTTGCAAATTGTTCCATCCACTTGTTATTGTTAGGCCCCCGGACATGCAAAGTGTATGAAAAAATACACCGCTGGAGAGATGAACAGCATGAACGAGGATACATCAGGTGAAACGGCAGTGCAATGGCTCAGTTCATGAATAAGTGGAGAACGGAGCAGACAATCAAATGAATAAATCCACGCATTATTATGAAAATGCCTTCCGCTAGTGAACATCTGTGAGATATCAGTTTATCTGTCACATAATCACTGTGTAACCCCCCCCAAAAAAAAGAAATACACAGACACGCACAAAAAGGAGAGACACACCTAGGCTAAACAACGACGACTTCTGTAAACCAGAATTTTTACATTGACTACAGCATAGTAAAATACCAGAGACACAATGCTTCTATGTGGCTAATGACTCTGTATTCCTCCGTCAAATCCCCAAATGAGATTCATTTTTCGACAGAATTGAAACATTTTTTTTTCATTCGATAGCGCTTCAAATTTCTGAGATTTTTCTCTCTCAAAGCAGCACTACCATGAAACATCACTACGACGTAAATCCTGTTTCCTGAAACAGTCAAGTGGACGCTTTGAAGGTGTGTAGTATCCAAACGACGACATTTACTTTCAGCGACAAGTTCCAGAACCTTAATTCCCCTTAATAAGCAAACTGAAACAAAAACCAGCAGCCAGTCATACAGACTTGAGGACTGTGATATCATTCATCTGCAGTCTGGTATGCAAGTCATGGCATGTTACCAGAATCAGCTTTATGAAAATGTCACAGCGTTTCACACTTCCATGCCCAGATTGCACATGACAGGGCAGAACACTACTCCAAGCATGTACAGGTAGGAATTCTAAACTGATGTCGAGTTGGGCATGGTCAACAATTCCATAACATCAAGTCAACGTAAACTGCTTTTTTTTCTGTTAAGAAAAAATACAGCATTGCCAAAATACTTCCTGATGCACAACAAGGATGTTGCAATGTCCACAAATAACGTGTGGGGATTCTTAAATTCAGAATGGAATATATTTTGGTGACGTGCATTCTGCATTCGTGTCTTGAATAAACGCTGAAGCTGAATTTGTCCTTAATCCAAACCACGCAAATTCCATTTACACATGTCCCACGCCGTCCGGGAAAGCTGTAACTGGTCCTGAAATTGAATTGCGAGTCTACGACTCTACGACTCTCCCCTCTCTACTGAGAGTTGCCCCTTGACGTCATGGAGCAATAGAGGATCTCTCCGGGGTCGATGACAGCATGCATAAAAAACCCCGAGCTGGAGACCGGGTGTGCAAGATCACACGTTTTGTTTACAAGGGGGTACTGACTGCTGGCTTTAATGCGTTGATGCACCGGACGGATGTGGACGGGCACTCGAGGGAAAGGACAGGAGGGGCTAAGGGGGGGGGCCCTTCGAGGGGAGGAGAAGGGGGGAAGGGAGGGAAGGGGGAGGGGAGTAGGTCAGGATGGGGAAGGTTTTATCATGACGGCAAAAAATTTACCAGAAAATGAGCCCCAGAGGATGACACAGCCATTCTTCTATTTTTAACGACACGATTTTTGACCTGGATGGAAAGAAGAAAAAGCTCTCTGCAGACCCCTGGAAATGTCATGACCACAGTACAAAATGTTGAAAACGGATCAAATAACGGAAATGACAGAAGATTCTTAAAAATCTGAAATACTACTAGAACAAGAAAAATATCACGCCTGATTTAATTCAGACAAGGGCATGACACCAACATTACAAAAATGTCCTTGATGACTGAATTTAGGAGCTCTGTAACCATCAATACTATAGTTTATCTCTGTAGTTCTCAGTTTTGTCCTCGGTGATGGCTTCATGTTTTTATTTCCTAGACCTGTGTCTTGAAGAATCTGGCTGAAGGAAGGTCCCTTTTTTCTTCAGAAATATCAAATTCTTCAGCTGACATTTCTGTAGATTTTTAATGTCTTTCGTACCCCTCTATGATCCTTAAACATCCACCAGGTGGTTCGGGGAGAAATTATTTTGAGATTTAATAGGGAATTACATCTAGATCCCTGTCAGAAGTACTTCATAGGGGGCTTGATGCCATACCAAACGTACAGAGAGTGTCCTGGGTAGCAGATTATTGCAGGAAGGATTCGGGAGGGTTTGAAACGGAATACCAAGGGTAAAAGATCCCTCGACTGGCTGTGGACATAAAGATGAAACCAAAGCCTGAGAGGGCATCATAGTTTGGAGACAGACTTCATCTGGCCTTCTTCCACCTGCACAATCTCCTTCATCTCCTCTCCTATAACCTTTCATTCCCTGAGCCATAAAACAGGGAAGAAGAAACAGCAATGTCATTAAAGTAGCTTTGCAATGCAGGCCGTTACAGACCTTGCGCAGCAAAAAAAAAATCTGTTCTCCAAATACTTGTTAAATCTGATTTCTTAATCTCTGCCTTCGTCGGTGCATTTAGGAAACACTCAGGGTGAACTATGGCAGACCTGTGTGGCTCTGTGATTGCCGTAGAATGGTACGTCAGGTCCGAGATACTAGTCGCCGTGTGTGGGGGGAGAAACAAGGCCATTCTGGAGGAATACATTGCTAATGCGTAGAGCAAACATGTACTACAAGGGTGTCAAACACTCCATCAAGATGGCCCTCTCAGGCAGAGGACAGGCTCTCCCCTCTCTCGACAGTCGATGCAACCAGCTGCAGATCCTCAAGTTTGACAACTTCCGATGTGCCGCTCCTGGCTTTTCACTCACCCAAAAAAACGGCGATCTCGACGATCTTTCAGCAAAAGCTACGCACCGGAGAAGAAACTCATCCAGGGGCTGCTATGCAAGACGTACTGAGACACAGCCCCCCCTCCCCCCCTCCCCAACAGCCACACTCTCCACCCCCGGCGGCAATTTTTCAATCTTAGACGAGATTGGCAAGTCGACATAAGGAGACAGCTCCCTCGGGCACCGATGGAGGTGTCCAATTACACATCATCTCTATCACTCTGCCAATGACTGCTACATGCTTCGATTGCCAAGCGATATTGCTCATATTTCTCAACTTACCTTCACTGTGACTTTTTAAAGGCAAACTGTCAGATATCTCTTTCCAGGGACCTTAAAATTTTCACCCTTTTTCCTTTGTCCACTTTCAAAGAGCTGAATTTTAACAACTGCAGTTTGCTATCTTCCTGCTCGATGTTTTTTTCTACTTTTATGTTTTATACGACAAATGGAGGATTCTCCCTGAAGCAACTGACAGGAATACTTATTGAAATTCTATTTTTGCACCGGTGAAAAGCCAGTGAGGGAGTAAGACATTCCTCAGGCTTTTGATGGGGCATGAACCTGTGACCTCGCTGGCTTTTGTGGAAATCTGGCGCAAGCAAAAAATTGCCCCCGTCTGCCTAAGTGATTCTGCTCCTGACTGCCCGTCTCTCAACAACTTACATGTTAGTGCTGGGTCTGTGATGTACATACATGTACATGTAATTACATATTCACATGTCTCTCTGATCAACGCACCAAAAGGGAGACGACAGTGGTTTTCCTACACAGAAACAAAAACGTTATGCATTTGCAAATCCTAAAAGAGCAGCTTCCCGTGCAAACCAAGATCCACATGTTCTGCATCAGTTTTAATCTCTTCTACAGCTGCTACAAGGTAGGTGTGCATGTGACATGTACAAAAAAAATTTGCTTCCGCTGATTTATAATTAACATTCATAAATCAGCGTAAGCAAATTTGTACAAAAATTATTTACAATATTTACAAAAGATTAACATTATACCCCATATCATGTTAATCTTTTTCACTGCATAGCAGATTTTGACAGGCAATTTCAATTACAAATTTTTTTTGGGGGGGGGTTCAAATCAAGAGAACCTGTGTATAGAAGACACCATGCTTATGTCCAAGTTTTGGACAGCTGTTAACCATTGATGGTTAGAGCTGTGGTGTATTCTAGCTGCATCTTTGTTGCCAACAGGGTCCAAACAACATGACATTTCACGCAAGACCTTTCCCGGCATTTCTGACGTTATCGGCCTTTGAGACGAAGAGGAAAGTAAAAAAACAAAAAGAAGTACACGGATGAACCCTTCCACCCCCCCCCCAGCCTCG